TGGTTAAAGTAATGAAAGTCATGATTCATGATTTGGGTGGGCAAGTGCCCCCTGTACCCCCCCCCCTAACTATCCGCCACTGGATATAATGTGGCTATGGATCCAACCGATCATCCCCTTCGAACTTGGTATTAGCGTTGGGGGAAGGGGGATGCTCGTGTATATTACATTCCGGGGAAGTCTGGAGTAAAATCGCACTGTGCATGAATAATTGATTACCTAATAGAGTTTTTGACAAAGGAGAGCAGCATTATGCTGCGAATTGTACAAAATAGTCAAAATTGATTTTTAAAAAAATCTTAATTTCCCTTAGTGCTCCATATTGCAATCTAACGAGCGTTACGGAGATATAAAGCCATAATTGCGGAAATGCTGGAATGTACATGTGGGTCCAAATACTGTCCAATATTAACCTTGACATGACCAAATGGCCCGCCGGAAGGAGACAACATGATAGATAGAGGTGGTCATGCGAGATGAAATTGTCTTCCTTATCGTTACTTCGGATGCATGCATTGCTTGATAATAGGGTCCATGACAGTAGGTCCCTTCCATGTACCAAGCTGGAGATCGAAAGGAGGAAATGCAAGTATGGACTAATGGTTGGCCGCTAGTCAAGCGTTACATCTCCCCCAGATGTTTCAATTTTTGTTTCATTCATTCCATTCTCTCTCTCTCTCTCTCTCTCTCTTTCTATTTACTCCTCTCTCATTTTATCCCGAAGTCCTGTCTACATCGAACGCTTCCTCAGTAGGTTCAGAAGTTCATGTTGTATCTTAACCTGATACGAAGCAATAAAAGTACGACCAGAATTTTGTACTATAGTTGAATTTGAAACCATCACCCCCAAAAAGCATTATCATTGATTGTATGCAATGTTCGGATACCATCGAGTTTAATATGAAACAATTTCCGATGCAATTCATTTTATTTATCTAAAAGACAGTGTAAGGACCAATGTACATGTATACATTTAAAGATGCAACTGCACGCCGTTATATTTGGAATGGTTCATGTCTACACTCTTGTTGCAATGATTCTCTTTATACTTGACACCTTTTGATAATAAACGCAAGGATTTCGAAATGATATGACTTGCATGATCAATGATATTTTTTACCCTCGAAGGGCTATCTAGACCAGTTATGTATTTAGCTCATGGTCACCGATTATTAAGTAGAAATGGGCTTGGATACAATACCCCTTTTCTCTTTAAATGTCCCACGAGGCTTCTATTTTTCGATAACATAATATGTGATTATGGTATTTGGACTCCGTTGCGTTGGGAGGTAAACTGTCTTAAATATCTATTTATGGAAGTATTAACATTAAAATGACTTCTTGACCTGGATGAAACAATGAAATATTAATAACTTGAGCTGTCTTTATAATCAGGTTTCACTGTATTTCTGGGAGCTGATAATATGGCTTCTTTGTAGTTGTATCGGTAAACAATTTTGACCTTTAAACATGTACAGTATATATCTAAAAACAAAATATCTACCTTATGCCATTTCGGAGGGGAAATACAATAAAAATATCACTAACTGTAATACTTTAGAAAATGTGAAATGTTGTTTTAGCAATCGGATGAGAGGAAAAATACTTTTTTTTTTTTAAGTCGACCTGAAACAAAAGATGTGTGGTCTTCCAGGTCTTTGTGCTGGTTCGGTCCTTGTCTTTATCAAGTGTCGTTTGACTAATCAGAATAGCGACAAACTAGCCAATTAAGATACCTTCTTTCAAAGCATCAGGATTACTGTTTTCTTTGAGTTAGGAGATATTTATCACCAAACTCGGACAAAAAGTGACAACGACCGAAGTTACCGCCCCGTCCAAGATTTAATTACCTTGAGGAACGTGAGGATACAAACCCCCATACCTGTCTCATCTCAGTCAGTCAGAAACCAGGCTGTAGTTAATTGAGTTGATAGGGATATAACAAGCAAACAACGGTATTTAATTGGTCTCCGATTTTGAGTGGGTCTGGGGTATGTCTTGGCTTAAAGCTCGGCCGGCGGGCTTGGTGGACACGGGGACGCGTGTCCGGAGGATCAACGGCGTATGCCGCTAATTAAGATAATTAGCGGACTCTCTCGATCGCGTGGGGATGACTAGCGGTCTATTGATGGATGGACGGCTTGAAATGCCAAATCCAATGTCATAAACTCGTTATGAATGGCATCCAGTCATCGCTCGGTATCTAACCCGAAATAGAGGCATGTTATGACTGGAGGAAAATAGTGAGAGAAAAACAGTTATGAGAGACAGAGGAATCAAAGGTAGGGAGATCGTGAAAGTGAGATCATTGATGACGAGGATGAAAGTGGGATGAGATTGCCGTCTAACTCTGACTCTGATGGGGATATAATGAGAAGATGAAAAGTTGAAGGGTTGAGAAATAAGGGACGGGAGAGAAAACCCGTTTCATTTTTGGTGTATTACTCATGAAGGTCTGAGCAATGATGGTTATTCGAGTGAATCTATGATGAGAACGTTTATTGCAAATAAAGCAGAAATGAATGCTGCTCGTGTGCTTCAAACATTTCAGTTAAATTTCTATTGTGACACATCTGGAGATGAAGGAACCTCCTTTTTTAGAAGATCCAAAATCCATTATGATTAACAGTTTATCCATAATTTTATCACGAAATGACATCATCTTGTATCCCCCTCCTCAACCCTCCCCCCCCCCCTCTCTCTCTCTCTCTCTCTCTCTTCATATATGCCGTTCTGTATTTATGAGATACGTGACTTCCTTTCGTAGGAACATCTTATGATAATTATAATGTTAGCCCATTCTTCCTTTTTTCGCCTCTCTCACAGTCCATATAATTATATTCGTTTATATCTGAGATTAATAATTTTGGGAATGCAAAGCACAAAATCAATACCTCGATGTAGATGCGTGCTAACCCGAAGGCAAAGCTACAGGCAAAATATTTTTTCGTGAGTGTGCTAATAAAATAATAATATCACTCGTGCTGTAATGAAGCTTTTCGGAGCCGAAAATTTACATAAAAGGATACATCGACGCTTCTTTGTGGCGCTGACTCACCATCAGCATTTTGATCACCACTTTCTCATCGCAACAATATTCGCACTCAAATCGATACGCCCGAACGCCGTGAATTGATAGTCGCTTTTGAAGGTGTTACTCCAATTTTCCATATTTCTTCGCAATTAAATGTATTTTCAGTTTTTACTCATTTGTATTGTCAGCAGGGTGCAACTACCCGAGGTGTAAATTTGAAGCGTTTTGTATCGCGAACAAAGCTCGTTATGAATAGTAGTTTGTAGATACATCGCACCAGCGGCATTTGTCGTCTGCTCTCCGATAAACGCGCGGGCTTTAGCCAGAAAATGGCGCCAAATTGCGAATCACGGCCAGACCAGATGTCAAGGTTTGAAGGGATAAGGTCGCCTTCATTATTGTTCTAATCCTTCATCTCCTTCTCATCATTGCACTCTAATGATCAAATCCCTGATAATAGCTCCAGGCGATCATTCTCTTAAAAAAAGATTGGCATGTGGCGTAATAATCTCTTCTCGTTGCTCTATGAACTTGATTCTTGGTAAAATCAAACCAGCGTGGAGGTTATAAATTGTTACGTCTAAAAGTGTAACTTATTTTGCTTCTTGTAAGAATCTTAACCATGGTGAACCAGAACTTTGCCCCAAAACGAATAGACTGATACAATGTAGTTGTCATTCGTGAGCACATTTAAGATGTTGAATTATATCGTATCTCTTACATCTAATCACCTGATCCCAAAATGTAATTATTCATCTGGTCTTTTATCATACTTTTTTGTAACGGTATCACCTTGTTTGAAGGTTTAATGAATTAGATTAACAATATCAAGGCTAAGCGATTTGAGAGAAAAATTGAGTCAAACTATGGGAAAGTTAAAGCAAAATGTTGGTGTTTCAAACAAAATGCGGAAGAGATCACGAAGGTCACGTGATCAAAATATTCCAAGCACTTTGTGTTATTACCCACAACATTATAAAGAAAACATAAACAAAGTTTCGCGGCAGTAGAGAACAATGCAGATTACGCGTTTTTAATATCACAAGACGTGTGCCTTTTAATTTCAGCAGAAATATACAGTTGCCTTATCCCTTCAATGTCCATAGATATTTACAATATGAACAGATGGTCAGATGTTATACAATATCGTCGGTTCTTCCTCGTATCAATCATGCTGTATTCATAATCCGGGGCATGCATAACGGCATCGAAAACAACGACATTCAAAGTGTTTTATACCGGTAACACAGTAGTGATATATACTCAACTCCATGACCAGCGTTTGTGAACGAATGATTGATAACTTATATCCTTTAAGTGCGAATCCAAGTTCATTCGTGATTAATGCTGGTCCGTTATTTGAATACATCGAATAACAAATAGTAAATCATGTTTCGAGACCTTTCAAGGGAATTGTCAGATTTTGAACTCCGAGCGAGGACATCCAGGTATACCTACCAGGACGCTTTGTCTGTGTGTCTGGGAATTTTATCGACTTATTCTTATCATGACCCGCGCAATAAAGTGAATTGATGTTTATGGTCTAGCCGCTGCCCATGATAATATTAGCAGGTAGTAAGATTTCGAAAAGTACTACCACTCTGTTACACCATCTTAGTAGGTCCATGGTTACACTGTCTCAAAATGATCATTTAAGTGAGTCAAAATTTGTCTTTTGATCCAATGTTGTTGGACCCTCAAAAACTCCAAAGGAAGGCATGAGTACAAGCGATCGCACTTTGGAAACAAAGTCTAACTCATATAATTCGATGATACGTAGGAACACTCCAAGATTTCTCACGCTTTTTTCTTATGTTGCCTTGTGGTAACATCAAACAGAACCCTCTTCCATTTCTACGAGATTGACCATAATATAAACAAAAATAAATCGTTATTTGCATGAACTCAAACAAAATATTACATTACCCAGGATTGACATTGTGACTTGTTTTTTCATATCTTTCAGACGGAGACGACATTCACCATGTCTTTGTCAGAAGAGGTCAACACAACCGGAAGTGGTGGTGGTAAAGACTTCCGGTTCACCGATTACAACCAGCGACTGGTCCTGGCCATCACTTTCATCGTCATCTCCGTCGTCGGTTCGATCGGCAACAGCATTGTCATTGCTGCTGTTGCCATGTCTCGGAAACTTCGGACGGCCACCAACGTCTTCGTGGTCAGTCTGGCCATCGCTGACCTCCTCACCAACCTTTTCCTCCCGTGGAACGTGATTGCCTTGTTGAATGAAGACCGAGAGCAATGGCCGATGGAAGAATCACTTTGTGTCATGGCCGCCATCATTCTCTACACGTGCGTTGGTTCCAGTGTCTACAGCCTGGCTGCGATAGGTCTCAATCGCTTCGTTTTGATCACTCAACCCATACACGTGTATCACCACTACTACTCCAAGGTCAGAATGGGCATAATGGTCATGTTCACATGGGTCATTCCTCTGTTCCTGTCCCTCTTGCCGCTCATCTTCGGTCTCGGACAGCTCGGATACGACGCCAAGTACGGTACATGCACTCACAAGACTTCACATCCGTTGTCTGATTACTACAGCTTGACCCAAGCCGTCATCATCTACCCGATTCCTCTGACAGTCATCCTGGTGTCTTACGTCGCCATCTATGTGCACGTCCGTGCTCACACGAAGACCATCACAGAGATTCAAGACACCTCAGAATCTTCGTCATCAACGCACAAACCCAAAAGGCGTGAAAGTACGGCTCGACGATCGATCAGCAAACGTCAGGTCGAAATCACTAAGAACCTCTTTTATGTCGTCTGCGCGTTTGTTCTTTGCATCACGCCATATTGTGCTAGCTTGGTGATTCCTGGTTCTGAGTCATTCATCCCATGGGCAGGGGCCATCATCCTTATGAACGCTTGCATAAATCCTGTCATCTATGCCACAAAACATCCGCACTTCAAGAAGGTGATGTTTGCAATTATCCGATGTAGGCTTTCTGCAATACCCGAACCAAGCTCAGACTGTTTACGCGCGCAAGGCCAACCAATACCATCAAGATGAGCATCGACAAAACGACGCTGAACACTTGAGCTTACTTGCACATCTCAGGTTGTGATCCTGAACCCATCACGAAGTCGCAGAAGACTCCATTAATAACCATCCTCACTGGACAGGTGGAAATTGAACGTGCTTCACAAACAAACAAACAGCACAAGGAGATGGTTGCATCGGATGGGTTAACTTCATTCCGTGCCTGCCAAAGGTGAACGAAAGTTGTTACGTATCGAAAAACAGTTCCTGCCTTGTACGAGGCATGAGTCACTGAACTCCAGAGAATTGATTCGTCAACAAACTTGTTTGGGTGCCTTGACAAGTTCACGCTTTTTATAAGAAGGACAGGTGCATCGACCGATGTCACAACAGCTTTGTAGTTGTGAAACCACGGAAGCTTGTAGAGAAAGATGGGAAAATGCGTAAGAAGTGAACAAACTCGACATGACAGCGGACCAAATACCAGGGGAAGATTAGGTTTGCTTTTCGTCAGATAGGAAGATGAAAGGGCATTGAAATCTCAAACCGTGTGTCACTCTTTGCGGATTAACAGAAATTAATCCGTTTCTGAAATGTCCGAGCTTCGAAGTGAAATCTTCGGTGGCAGTAGTAAAGTTCCGATGGTGAAGGCAGTCCTTTTGATGATGTCAAAGGACTAATTGATTATCATGTTTGTATACTGTCATATTAAAGGTTCACTGAAGGGAATTATAATGGTAAAGTGGTGAATGTAAATAGTTTTATATTGCAATCACAATAACCATAATAATGCTGTATCAAAAAGGAATATCTACACAACTTTTGATTGAGAACAAAAACCTCATTTATATTTATTTGGCAATTTGTAATATTTTGTTATATCATTAGCAGACAGCTTAATATTTTGAGGTGAAAAAGTAATTTGTCGTATCACAATTTTTATAAAATCAAACTTGTAAACTTTTCTAAAAATTAGGTCGTTTAGATCATAAATTGGAATTGCGATAACCCATGTAACCATACTTGTCACGCCATGTTATTTTTTTTTAAATTATACTTTTTTTTATCGAACTTTTAAAGTCCATATTAAGGTTAATTAAACGAAAACAATGGCAAATCTTCCGTTGTATTGTGTCTATGAAGACATGTAGACTTAACATTGAAAGCAAAGTCATGTTAAGAAAAAATAGTTATATCTATACATGGATTTTCGTCGGTGAAAAAAGAGAGATAGAACGAGAGATAGAGAGAGAGAGAGAGAAAGAGAGAAGGTAGCGAGAGGACGGTAATTTGTAAATGATTAATCTCCGAACATCCTTTGGTGCTATTTTACTTTATTATAAATGGAATTGAAATGCTTCATGTTTGAAAATGTGCCTATTCTGAACGAATATGACAGCGTCATGTTTTTAGTCATTAATTTCATTGTTTCTTTTTGTTCTTCGCTTGGATGAAACATGTACAGTGTAAAAATGATTTTGTGTGCTCTTCAGTGTAATTTTCTGTATCATAGATGACTTAATTTATGTGATTACAAAAAAAATCATTAGATTATTCTAAAACGCAAGACAAATTATTTATGAAAGTAGATGTTTTATTTATAAGATTCTTAGTGGAAAGAATGTTTTGTGAAAGCAGCACTTTTTCATTGTTATATTATTCGAAATCAAATTTCGACTTGCAAGCAAAATATGAAAAAGGTTATGTCCACAAAAATCGTTCCTATTTCGGAATCAAGTTATATCTTTGCAAGCAAAGTTTCAAACTTTATAAGACCATTATTGACAGAGATTGAGTTGTCTTCATACTACACCTGGGTTGGAATGATGATCATGTTTTAATGACGTTATAAAAATAACGATATGTACTAAGTTCTTTCAAACAACCAATGTTCCTTACAACGAAACAAACCAATTAAGATAATTATACTAGGGTATGGTTAGTATTTTTTCTCATTTCAATTAAGTTTCACTAATAGCAATAGCACTAAGTAACATATCTGTAAAACTTTAGAATGCTCATGAATTCGAAAAGGATCAAGATAATCTTTTTTCTTTTTTAATAACGCCCATCATAATTATCTTTAATTGTAATTTTAACGTTAAACGGGGATATGCAGAAAATAAACACATTTCGAGAATTAACGATAATTGGAAATTCAACATTTTTAGTGAGTATTCTTTATATTAATACGTTTGTTTCTATTTGTTAAAATGTCATAGCTTAGAAAATTTGCTATCGATCATCGAATACTACCTAATTAATACCAATTAATGTTGCTATTTGATTGAAAGTTATAAAATAAGTCCGACCTGATAAAAAAATTCTGAAGTGATTGGGAGGGGTGTATCCATCTAGCAAACTATCGGTTATTAGTCGCAATGTCATGAATGTAGTCGTTTCTTGTACTTTTGAAATTAGTAGTGAGGTGTTTGTGTAATGTTTTCATTCTGCAACTTGTAAATGATCTAGGTGTGAGACTAGTCACTGGACACACGTTTTTGATTGCTATTGAGTGATATGATATCACACAACTTGTGGATTTTCATGAAATAATAAATCTGTGATGAAATGAAGAATTTTAAAAGTGTTTGTTTTTGCTTTGTAGAGTATTTGGGGGTGGGGGAGTAAATTACAGTAAAACAACATCTTCCTGGATCTGGTTTCAAAGATCGTTTCATCATCGTCACCGAATGAGATGTGTAATTTAGAATGGAATTGCAGAGAAAGGAAAGTAAAGAAAGAAAGAGAGTAAGAGGGGAGAGAGAAAGTGGCAGACAGGGAACTATATCGAGAGAGGGAGGGAGAGAGAGAGAGAGAGAGAGTAAGAGAAAGAGAGAGTGAGTGAGAGAGAGAGAGAGAGAGAGAGAGAGTGAGAGAGAGAGAGAGAGAGAGAGAACTGGGATTACAGATGGTTGGCCAAGGCGATGTAAGTGTTAAATATGCAAACTAGGAAAATAATTATGAAAGAGATATACAAAGAAATAATTCTGAAGAAGAAAAAAAGAGCCCTGATCAAGGCAAAACATAATACTGCTTTTCTCTTCTTGGTATCCGTGTGCATGGAATTTTCCGTGTCTTCATTTTTTCCGGGAAATATGAGATTAGGGCGTCGGAAATAAAATGTAGGACCTCGTAGATACCTGAGGTCAAGGGGATAAGAAAAGTACACACCGACCTAACATGATTTTAAAACATCTGTGACTTTTTGGATCACGTTCGCACGATCACATTCACATAAATTAATAAACACTAAACAAAAAATACATACGAAAGATATCATAGGAATGGCACGAATGAGACTTTGTTTAGTGCTCTTCAAAATATACAAATGTTGATTCATACGCAAACAACAACAAAACCATGATTATGGGTACATTAAAACGAACAAAACAATTCCCAAGAATTAAACATTACTATATAAAATTCAAACGATTCCAACTCCACACTCGGATTAAGACGTGCCATAATATCTCAAACGAAATGAGAGAAAAAAGTAGATACGAACAAAATTATATGAACGGGAAAGAAATACTGCTTTTCCTTTCTTTTTTATTCGTGTGCATGGAAACTTCCTTCTTTCTCCATTTTTTCAGGAAAGTATGGGATTATGACGTCGGAAATAAAATGTAGGAATTCGGAAATATCCGAGGTCAAGGGTATTAGAAATGTATGCACCAACTAAACACGATTTTAAGGGTGCGTTTAATCGACACTTTTTCACCCTAGAATCACGGTTTCTAAAGACGTTTAGTTTAAAACGCAATGCGTTCAAGCGATTTTTTCGTCGGTCGTAAAAATAAACGTCTTTGAAAACACAAACATGAAACGCTGAAAAAGATGCGTTTTGAATCATGATTCTGCAGAATCACGGTCGCTAAAATTCGATTGAACGGACGGAGTTTTCAATCATGATTGTATGACGGAGCCTGTTCCGGTTTGGGCAAAAACCGCGCGCCTGCTTTTCATGCAATTTGCGTTTACTATACCATGCTCTTTATCGTGGTCTGTTCCGTTATGTTATACCTTGTTTTTCTCTTTCTGTCTTTCCTTATGTTATTCTTTGTTTCTTCCTTCTATTCTTATGTTATTCTTTGTTTTTTTCTTCTATCACCTTCTCTTATGTTATTCTTTATTTTTATATTTCTATCACTTTCTCTTTTGTTATTCTTTGTTTCTTCCTTCTATTTTAATGTTAATCTTTGTTCTTTTCCTTCTCTCAGCCTTTCTTATGTAATTCTTTGTTTTTATAATTCTATCACTTTCTCGTTTGTTATTCTTTGTTTTTTCTTTCTATTCTTATGTTAATCTTTGGTTTTCCCTTCACTCACTTCTCTTATATTATTCTTTGTTTTAATCATTCTATCACTTTCTCTTTCTGTCTTTCCTTATGTTATTCTTTGTTTCTTCCTTGTATCACATTCTCTTTTTGTCTTTCATTATGTTATTCTTTGTTTCTTCCTTTTATTCTTATGTTATTCTTTGTTTTTTCCTTCTATCACCTTCTCTTATGTTATTCTTTGTTGTTATAATTCTGTCACTTTCTCTTATGTTATTCCTTGTTTCAATCATTCTATCACTTTCTCTTTCTGTCTTTCATTATGTTATTCTTTGTTTCTTCCTTTTATTCTTATGTTATTCTTTGTTTTTTCCTTCTATCACCTTCTCTTATGTTATTCTTTGTATCAATCATTCTATCACTTTCTCTTTCTGTCTTTCCTTATGTTATTCTTTGTTTCTTCCTTGTATCACATTCTCTTTTTGTCTTTCATTATGTTATTCTTTGTTTCTTCCTTTTATTCTTATGTTATTCTTCGTTATTTCCTTCTATCACCTTCTCTTATGTTATTCTTTGTTGTTATAATTCTATTACTTTCTCTTATGTTATTCTTTGTTTCAATCATTCTATCACTTTCTCTTTCTGTCTTTCCTTATGTTATTCTTTGTTTCTTCCTTGTATCACATTCTCTTTTTGTCTTTCATTATGTTATTCTTTGTTTCTTCCTTTTATTCTTATGTTATTCTTTGTTTTTTCCTTCTATCACCTTCTCTTATGTTATTCTTTGTTGTTATAATTCTATCACTTTCTCTTATGTTATTCTTTGTTTCAATCATTCTATCACTTTCTCTTTCTGTCTTTCCTTATGTTATTCTTTGTTTCTTCCTTCTATTCTTATGTTATTCTTTGTTTTTTTTCCTTCTATCACCTTCTCTTATTTTATTCTTTATTTTTATAATTCTATCACTTTCTCTTTTGTTATTCTTTGTTTCTTCCTTCTATTCTTATGTTAATCTTTGTTCTTTTCCTTCTCTCAGCCTTTCTTATGTAATTCTTTTTTTTAATAACTCTATCACTTTCTCTTTCTGTCTTTCCTTATGTTATCTTAGTTTCTTCCTTCTATCACTTTCTCTTTTTGTCTTTCATAATGTTATTCTTTGTTTTTATAATTATTCTATCACTTTCTCTTTTGTTATTGTTTGTTTCTTCCTTCTATTCTTATGTTATTCTTTGTTTTTTACTTCTACCACCTTTTCTTATGTAATTCTTTGTTTTAAGCATTCTATCACTTTCTCTTTCTGCCTTTCCTTATGTCATTCTTGTTTCTTCCTTATATCACATTCTCTTACGTTATTCTTTGTTTTAATAACTCTATCACTTTCTCTTTCTTTCTTTCCCTATGTTATTTTTTGTTTCTTCCTTCCATCACCTTCTCATTCTTTGTTTTATTATTGCGATCTATGCTCAAAACAGCAGTCGACAGTCGGCCGTAAACAATTCCAAAAAGCGCGCGCCGAAGTTGACCTTTACTTCCTGGGTCAAACTGCAAGTGTGATCCGCAGTGGCTGGGCTCGAAATGAGCTAGAATCAGCGTTGATAAAAAATCGCTTGAACGCTAACCGCAGTGACCTTGTTGTTTGTAATGGCGTTTTGATTTGTGATTCATGTTTGTGATTCTAGCTTCGAAAATTCGATTGAACGCACCCTAACATGTGTGACGTTTTGGATCACGTTCACATAAATTAATTAAAACTAAACAAAAAAAATACATACGGAAGATATTATAGTAATGGCACGAACGAGACTTTGTTTAATGTGTTCTTCAAAATATACAAATTTTGATTCACACGTAATCAACAACAAAAATATAATTATATATATATACAGTAGAAGGCTATGACCAAAACAATTCCCAAGAATCCTCCATAATTTAAAACTGCATGCAGATTTAGTTTGTTTCTCGGATAAAAATTGCTTTTAGATATTCAAACGATTCCAGCTCTATACAGTCGGATTTAGACGTGCCATAATATCTCAAACGAAATGAAGAAGAAAAAAAGTAGATTAGAAAAAATAGCAATGAGTCCATGCAGGGAGATAGTTTTCGTAAATGTAGTGACATGTAAACACATAATTAAATAGTATAATAATAATTTTTAAAGAATTTATATCACTAATACGCCAATAAGAAGCGCTCACAGCCGACACGCAGAGCTGTTCAGGGCTAAACGTCTCCCGCTTGGCCCTAGCATGCGAGAGGTTCATCTCTATCTGGTACACATCACTATAAACCTGGGTCGAGAGGGCAAAATAGTGACGAGAGTGAAAATAAGAGATCCAAATATTGCTACGGATCGAGGATTCATGATCGAGCTAAGTGGAATCAACCACCTTGGGTAATTACCATTTAATGAGCAACCATATAACCTCATTTCCGAACAACTAATATTCTATAAGACAGTAAATCATTATCTTTAGTTGTCCGAGAGGAAATCTTCTGAGGAAGGACACCATGTATTTTGTATTAATTCAATTGTGAATTACTTTTGAAGACCATGAATTGGTGAAATTGCAGACCATGTTCTCCACGCCCTCTTTTAGAACAAAGTCCATCCTGGGCCCGGATG